CAAATCAGTACCGTCCCACCACAGTGCGGTGTACATGAGTTAAAACATGAAAACTTATGAGGTAACGTGTCACAAGTTTGGCACTCTGGGCACGGAGATCTCAGAACATTACAGAGTCAGTGGCAGCATGCCAGAAATTCTCATATACATTATGGGAACATGTATCCTTATGAGAGTAAATGACGAGTGATCCAGTCAACAAATCTGCCGACGTTGGCGTAGACACCAGGCTTGTTCTTCATGCCGCAGCCGTCGCCCCAGCTCACAACACCAACAACATAGTGGGTCCCATTACGCTCACACACCAGAGGGCCACCAGAGTCACCCTGCAGCGACAGAGAGGAGTCATTATCTCTTTTCTTTATTCTCATGAATACAGTTACAAGAACATATAATATAGATAAATAAGAAATCACATCTCACAGACCTGGCAGGAGTCAGGACCTCCTCTTAGGTAGCCTGCACAGAACATGCTGTCGTCCAGAACGTCTCCGTAAACATTGGGAGCTTTACATTTCTCCTGGGAGATCAGGAGAACAGGAGCTTGTATCAGCTGGTTTGTACCTTTCTTCTCTGAGAAGAGACGGAGAGTCGAATCAAACTGACTGTATGTTCAAATGCATTGAATGACATGTTAATTAAGGGATATAGTTCGAGAAAGAAACCACTTTTATGTCGTTAATGTGGGTGTACAAATATGTCAGGTTCTGCATGCATGTTTGTCTTTTAAACTCAACACTTTATTATTGTTTGTCCTCACATCAGATATGATCACATTATTCACTAGTAATCAAAACTAAATCTGATGCAATATAAAAATATTTGAAGGTCTCTGTGAAGCTGACTTTTATTTAGCTCCTGTGGCTATTGAGTATGTAATTTATTATTTCTTTTTTCAGCAATTTGGTTTCAATCTATTCAATAATACAGTGTTTCTTCTTTGTCATCAGTTTGTAAAAGAAAACTCTGTAAATACAGTATTAATAATACAGCACTTGGAACCTAAAATGAACAAGCAGAAATACGCGACCCTGTTTTTTTCGATGTGAATGCGTGATATAGGCCGAGGTGAATTGGATGAATATCCATGAGCTGCCAAAGTCCAAAACATTTTCCATTTTATTGGTTTAATCTCATAACTGGTCTGTTTTTCTTTTGTTCAAATCAAATATACTTTATTCCTTTTGACTAAATATTAACTACCAATTTGCAAAAGCTGACCTTCTTAACTTAAACTGATCATTATGTTCTGACAGTTTGCTATTACAGACTGCTTAACAGTTTGTTAAGCAGTCTGTAATAGACGGTGCCAATAAAAATTTTACTTACGTGTTTCAGTCACACCCCATCCTGAGACCACACACTCCGTCCCGCTGTTGAAGGGTTGGTTTGTTAGGCAGGCTGTCTTCACATAGCGGCTCTCTTTGGCACAGTACGGTCTGTCCATGACTTTCAGCTGAAGCATGGCTGCACAGGAGAAGCACAAAGCAAAGAACGATGCATTACCACTATACCAGTACATTTAACTTCCATTTTTACGTGGATACAATCAATAATTACATTTATATATGAAACTATCATTAGACCTCACCAATATCATTATAAAGAGCGGAGGGGGTCTTCTTGTAATTCTCATGCACGATGGCCTTCTCCACACGAATGACCTGATCGTATATTTCATCCTTCTCTAAGTCCACTCCTCCCAGCATCACCTGCATTTCCACTTCACTTTCACTGGACAAACACCAAAAGAGTTAAATAAAGGTCAAGTGTGTGTCCATGTAATGAATTAATTCACATCTGAAACTGCTTTTATACATCAAATCAACACTGGAGCTTACATGCAGTGTGCAGCAGTCAGTACCCAGCAGGACTCAAGGAGGATACCTCCACACATGTGGTTGAAGGGCCCTGAGGAGCCTTTGGGTCTGGTCTGTAGGGAAACCTGCCAAGGAT